TTTTTTTTTTTTTTTTTTTTTTTTTGGTACTGGGGATCAAACTCGGGTCCTTGTGCTTGCGAGGCAGGCAGCAGAACCACTGAGCCAAAACCCTGGCCCTATATTGTAAGTTTTTTTATTCAAAACTTTTATTATTCTTTTAATAAATCACACATTTTAATTCATAACAACTATATTTTGTGATGGTAACTTTGGAGGCAGATACAACTGAAAAATAAAGAAACCTACTAAATACTTCCTTTTTTTTTGCAAAACCAGGGATCGAACTCAGGACCTTGCTCTTGCCAAGCAGGTGCAGCACCACTGAGCTATATCCTCAACCCCAAATTATTCTTAATTTTTTTGTTTTTGGTACCAGGGATAGAACTGAGGATCTTGCACTTACAATGTGGGCAGTGGTGCCACTGAGCTAAATCCCTAGCTAAATAATTTCTGAACTTAAAAGTGTTGCTTACAGTAATGAAACTTAGACATAAAGCCTTGTAAAGTAAGGTGAAAAAACAATTATTAAGCTTAATATCAATCAAGTTTAATAAGAAAGTCATTCTTATACTGTTTATGGAAAAAAGGCCAATGATGCCACCACTTGACAAAAGCTTGTTAGTGCCAAATAATTAAATCATCAACTCCACATTATTATGACTTATGCAATTACTTTTTCTGTGGAAAGACTACTAAGAATCACGTAGGGTATCTCCATACTGACAACCACAGCGGTTGCACCAGTCTACACTCTCACCAACATTGGAGAAGGGTTCTTTTTTCCTCACAACCCTGTCAAATTGTTACTGCTGAATTCTTGATAGCAGCCACTCTGTCTGGAGTTAGACAGAATCTCAACATTGTTTTCATCTGCATCTCTTGAATGACCAATGATGTCGAATTTTTTTCTTATGTTTAATTCCTGCTTCTAATTTGACAAATGTCTATTCATTTCAGATATCCATTTTTGGACTGGATCTTTAAATTTGGGAGGCCTAATTTTTATCAGTTCTTTGTATATTTTAGATAGTAGACCTTTGTCTGAGGAACAGCTGGTAAATTTTTTTTCCTGTATTGGAGGTTGTCTCTTTATGCTGTTGGTTTCTTTCACTGTGCAGAAGCTTTTTAATGAAATCTCAGGTGTTGATTCTTTGCGCTAGTTCATATGTGACTGAGATTTTGTTCATGAAGTCTTTTCCTATGACAATGTCTTCAAGAGTTCTACCTAACCTCTCCTTGAGCTGGTTTAGTGTTTCTGTTTTAATGTTTATATCTTTAATCCATTTCAATTTTGCATGGTAAGAGATTATAAGTCTAGTTTTTAATCTTTGGCAAGCTGGCAATTTTTCCAGCACCATTTATTAAAGAGGCTATCTTTACTCCAGTGAGGGTGTTTGGCTCCTTTGTCAAAGATGAGGTGGCTGAGTATGTCTAGAGTTGCTTCTGCATTTTCTAATCGACTCCACTGATCCTCAGGGCTGTTTCTTGCCAGTATCATGTTATTTTTATTATAGTAACTTTATAGTATAGTTTTCAAGTTGTTTCAAGCTGTCTTTGTTGCCTAGAATTGCTTTTGCTATTCTAGGTCTGTCTCTTCTTGTTCCAAATGAATTTTTGGATTCTTTTATAAACACCGTGGAAGTCAGTATGGAAACACCTCAAAAAACTAGGATCAGAGGTCCCATCTGACCCAGCTATTCCTCCGCTGGGTATTTTCCCAAAAGAATTAAAAGAATCATACCACAGTGATATACACACACCTATACTTATAGCAGCACAGTTTGTAATAGCTAAAACTTGGAAACAGCCCAATTGCCCATCAAATGGTTACTGGATAAAGATTTTTAAACAAATACAATGGAGTACTACTTAGCCATAAAAAATGAGAAAAAAGAGACATAGCTAAATGGATGCACATTGAGGCCATACTTTTAAGTGAAATAAATAGAAAACACATGTATAAATACTGAATAGTTTTTCTGGTGTGAGAAACTCAAAGTGTAAATTAGGATCAAAATGCATAACAGATAATGTGAAATAGGAAGAAAAGGTCCAGAGGGGAAGGGGAAGGGAAAGTGAAAAGGATGGGGAAAGGAAAGAAAGGAATGAAATAAATATGAGAGAAGGAAAAAATGGAAATAAAGTCTTTGTAAATGGGGAAGGGTGGAGGGGTTGAAGGGTGGGCAGAGGAATAAGAAGAACCAAGATATGTAAAGGTACAAATTCCCAATGATGATTGTCATCATACACCTAAAATGTACCAAGAAACTTAATGAATTAAAAAAAAATCACCTATGGTATAATTTCTCATTTTTAAATTAACTGTCACTGAAAAGATTCATTATATAAATCACGAATCTTAGCAAAGCACTGTTCTTTAAAAGTTGGCCTGTACAAAATACTAAAAATTTCATTCATAAAAATCAACAAAGTTGAATCAATTCTATATTAAATATTAGGTAAAAATAGAATTCCAAATATGGTAAATTTATTTTAGAATAAATAGTAGCTCTTTTAACTATCAATCTAACATGTAAAAGCAAACTACTAAATTATCTTCTCACTTAATGGTCACTGACTTTCAAATCCCTTTAGTCATTTAACCTGGAATAGAGAGTGACCTATGGATGAGTTAGGGGATCACTGAAGTAGGCACAAACATTTTTTCTTAGATTTTTCTATTGTTTATTTTTCTATTATTTGAAGATTATTCTTTTTTTTTTTCTTTCTGTTTTAAGGCATGCAACAGTCCAAGCATGGGCAGTATTGGCCTGGACCAGATAATCTGCAATTCTTACTCTGATATTCAAATTATCAACTGTATATACACAATAATACATAAATATCAATTATCACTGTTACAATGTAGAATGGCTTTCTATCTATAAATTTTAAAGAAAATATATATCATGTCATTATGATTATTAACATATCCCTATCTCTAAGAAGACTGAATACACAAAGACTAAAAGAACTAAACCAAAATTTGGACTTGTTCCAATCAAAAGCCTACATTAAAGAATATTTACTTCACTTCCCACAATAAGAATTCACATACAGTTGAAGAAATTTATGAAATAAGAAGTGTTATAAATATCCATGCTGGTTCACAGAAGGAAGGCACAAATAAATTAATCATCCAATCTAGAACTGCTGACCTTTTATCTCATGTTTTGCAGAGGATCATAAAGGAATTACAATTCAATCATTTGAAACCTTCAGTGTGTAACTGAATAAAACTGTTTCTTATTATGGTAATGTGCAAGGTTACTCAATTTCTTTATTCTTGGTTTCTTCATCTGTAAAATGGGGATTATAATAGTAAATATTTATAGTATTATCATAGCTAGATCTTTCCTCCAGCCTATACCCCTTTCTGATCTTAGCTACCATTCTTTCTTTTGAACACTTTGAATCATACTGATCACTTATTGTTCTGCAAATTTCTCAACATTGTTCTGATTCTTTCTAGTTCTTTATATACTCAGACATGTTCCAGTTCTAGGAACTTTGCATAGATTGTTCCATTTGCCTTGTGCTCTCCTATCAGATTACCTGTATGGTTACCTCCAATGCAACTTTCTCTTTTACAGTATTCCATCTTCCTACTTAACAAGGCAAACTTATTTCCATTACCCAACCCCAATCTAGCAGTCCTGATTTCCCTTACCCTGCTCTATTTTTTCCCATAGTACTTACTATCTTCTTATGATCTACAACCTTATTATAATTATTGGGATTATTGATTTTTTTTCCTGGCTCACTAAATAAAAGTATTGTGAAGAAAAAAAGTTTAGTTTATTTACTAACCTATCTCAAATACTGAGGTCAGTTCATGGTACACAGTAGGTACTCAGTAAGTAATGTTAAATGAATAAATGCATGCAAAATAGCACAATGTATAGAAAATTCATTTCATAATGTTAATTGAAATTATTATTGTTACTACCAGTGCATTCTTAGCAATACATTTCTATTTTTTGAGATGCTTTTGGAATTTCCAAGGCCATGAGTTTCTTAAAGATGGTGAAAAGTTTATTTTTAAAATAAGGCTTTAACTAGAAAATAATATTGATACTTGACATTC